TTTTGCCCAGGCAGGGCTCAAGTACTATCCTTCTGCCTCAGCCTCCCAGAGGGCTAGTTTTGAACCCATTCCTTTCCTTTTTTTTTTTTTTGGTACTGGAGATTGGCTGAACTCAGGACTTTATGTTTATGCCACTGAGCTATCTTCTCAGCCCTCTTTTCCTCCTTTAAGTTTTTTTGTTTGTTTGTTTTCAGATTGATAGATTCCAGCCCAAGTACAGACCGCTAATTTATCGTGGCCCTGATCCAACATGGCTGAATCCCCCAAACAACAGCTTATCTTCCCAAGGGCCACTTCCTCCTTCCCCACTCCAGCCTGGATACAACTTCCTTTTACCTTTCCCGCCCACACAAGGGAGCCTCCAATCAGCTCCTTGGGTGTCACTGACCCTGCCCCTCAAACTCCGTCCCTAGCAGAAGTCCCTGAAGTCTCATCCGCCCTGTCTCAGGTCCGAGGATCTGCCTATCTCCCTGCTGTGGATCCTCTCTATGTCTTCAGAGTTCATAAAGGGTCCTCTCAGAGTTTATAAAGGGTCCCCTCATATCTGCTTCTCTGCCGCCACCACCAATAAAACCTGACACAGATATTTTGTCACAATACACAGTGAGGAAAATGTGCCTGACACCATTTGTAAGGCTTTTGTCACTTTCACGTAAGCTGTTTGATTGAACTAAGATTGGTCCCTGAGTGTGGTGATCGAAAGCAGCTCACACTTCCGTGAGCACCTGCACTCTATCTCTTCCCCACCTGGACGAGACCAGGTGCCTGGAAACAGCCCTTGGTGCAGATACCACCAAATCCTATGCATCGCTGAAGAAAGGCCATCAGAGACAAGGGGCAGATGGGGAAATTCGCAGATACCTGACAAATGGAAGAGTTGCTGCCTTCCAGAGCAGCTGGCCATGGCTAGGCTGAGCGGGGAGAGGCCTTAGGAAGTCTGAGGGCTGAGTAGGGGTCAGGACTTGGAGGCTCAGCCCATAGCTGGGTTCCTTAGCTTCTTAGAAGTTTCAAAGGTGGACAGGTGTGGCAGTGCAGGCCTGCAATCCCAGCACTTGGGAGGCTGAGGTGGGAGGATTGCTGTGAGTTTGAGGCCAGCCTGGGCTACACAGCAAGACCCTGTTTTGTTTTTGTTTTTTAAACTCAGGCCCTTGTGCTTGCCAGGCAAGCGCTTATTCTACCAAGCTATCTCCACTTGGCCCCAAGACCCTGTTAAAAAAAAAAAAAGTAAAAATATCCAGTGCTGTCCACTACTTCATATTTCTTTAAATTTTCGACCATTTGTGTTTCATTGTCATATTATCCCTGATGAACTAGTTCATCTAGAAATAACTTGGTTTAAAAAATATTTTTTAAGGGGCTGGTGAGATGGCTCAGTGGTCTAAGGCACCTACTTAGAACAAACTAAGCTAAACAAAGCACAGGGACCGCAGTTCAAACCCCCAGCACCACATGCCAGCCAGCCCCGCCCTCTGTTGGGCTGAGCTGGCTACACACACAAAATAAATAAATAAATAAATAAATATTTTTTAAAATATTTTTTTCAAAATGTATTGATCTAGCTCATTTTTTTTCCCCAGTGGTTAAATGGTCAGCCAGTTGCACCAATTCTGTCCTTTGGATATGTGTGTGTGAATGCTAAAATATCTCTGTGCATTTAATGTGAATTATAATGATACATCCTATTGTAAGCCTCGTATTAGAGTGGAAATAATGTTAGCATGAAATTAGCTTTTATGAACTAGTTGAATGGAACTGCCCCTAGGTATGCTTTTTGACCTCAGTGGCCTGTGACCACCACAGCATTCTCTCAGGGCTGAGACAGCAAACTGCCAGGAGAACTTTTGTCCTGAAAGCAGCCCCTGCCTCCTTGGGGTGACTTGGAGGCCACAGCTTCATCAAAGCCTATCATTCTACCAAGAAAAGCCTGCAGGCAGAGAACTTGTTCTGCATCTTCCTGGCCTGAGATGATTTTGTTTTGAGTCGTGTCAAAACCAGTGGCTCAGAGCCAGCAAGGTAGCTCAGTGGACTATGTCCCTGCTTAGGCAAGCACAGGGACTGGGGTTTGATCCCTGGCACCACATGCCAAGCTGGCCCCATCCCCAGGTGCACTGAGCTGGTGACTGAGTCCAGACATGGTGCCACATGCCTATAATCCCAGTCCTGGGGAGGCTGAAGACAGGAGGATCACTACAAGTCCAAGCTACATAGTGAGACCCTGTACCAAATACATGAAAAGGAAAAAAGGAGGGAGGGAGAGAAAGAGAACATGAATGAATGAACAGTGGCTGGGCTACATTTCTGCTATGGTGGCAGAAGTCTGCCTTTTCTGACTGCTGCTCTGAAAGAAGTTCTGAGCTCTTGGCATGGTCCATCCCTGGCCCTGGTGGACAGTCTGTCCTCTGTGGTCACCTGCTTACCTTCTTCCCTGCCTGTGTCCTGGGTCTGTATAGCAGGGCCCTTACCAGTTGTGCAGGTCTGGTCTCAGAGCACTGGGGGCAGGGAGTAAAAGGAATGTTTGTTTTTCCACTTTGAAAAATGGAAGCTGGGTGTGGTGGCACACACCTGTAATCCCAGTACTCAGGAACTGAGGCAGGAGGATCCTGTGAGTTAGATGCCAGCCTGCACTACATAGTTCAAGGCCAGACTATACTACATAGCGAGACTTTGTTTTTTTTTTTTTTTTTAAAAAAAAAGAAGATGATGAAGAAATCTCAGCCATTGTGTCCTCCAACGCTGTTTTTTCCTGTCTTGTCCTACTCTATACTGAATTGCATAGGGCCCACAGTAGACTGCTGGTGTGTGGCTTCCCTCTTGGCCACTTTCCAGGTCCCCTCAGGTGACAGTAAGAGAGTCACTGGACAGGTTCCTGGGTGGCCAGCAGTTTCCATTTCATCTTTCTGATGCTTTTTCTTGAGTTAATCAGTTTTCCTGGTTTCTTAGGTTTAATGTGTATTTTGCTTGTTTAATATTCGTTTTCTTCTTTCCTTTATTTTCTCCTCTCCCTCCCTTCCCTTCCCCTCCCCTTTCCCCTCCTTTCCCCTCTCCTCCCTTCTCTTTTTTTTTCTGTCTGCTGTGCTGGGAGAACCCCAGGCCTCCTGCATGCTAAGCAAGTATCAACACTGAGCTGTACCCCACCTCAATTTTTTATTTTGAGACAGGGCCTCACTATGTTGCCCTCTTAGGAGGTTGGGCTCAAACTCATGATCTTCCTGTCTCAACCTCTCAGGTAACTGGGGGTTCAAGTGTGTTGACACATCCACCTACTGATTGTGTAACATTTAAATTCAGATATTAGAAATTAAAGAAAATAAATGAGTTCCAAATTTTATATTTCACCATGTGGAGAAAAACACACTTGAGGGCCCAAGGGTAGAACCAGACCATGAAGCTCTTCTGCCACTCCCAGCCTGCACTATGCCTGCCGGCCACTCTCCAGGGAGCTTTGAGAACCCCTAGAAGGTTCTCTGCAGTTTTCAATCTGCTGAATAGCAGTAATGATCAACCATTCCCCAAAACTCACTGGAATCCTCAATAGTTTAACCAAATTGATTCACTACCCTGGGCTGTGTTAACAGTAATAATATTTTTTTGGTAATTTTTTTTTATTTTTCCAGGATCTCATTTTGTTTCTCAGGCAGAGCCTGAACTCCTGGGCTCAAGTGATCCTCCTGCTTCAGCCCACAGGTACAAGTGATTATAGGTGTGCGCTACACAGCCTAACAGTTCCATGCTTTCCTCAGTTCAGGGATGCTGGACCTTTGGTCCTCCAACAACTGTTCATTTCTGCCACTCTGACAGATGTGGGCATCTGTGTAGCTGCAGGAAGCTGTGTTCCTCCCAGGTCACACCTGACCCTTCCCAGCTTCTCTGGGAACAAACATACTGTTCCTCCTGAGTGTTTGTGTTCCACACAGGGTAAATCTAGAAGCGACGTACACTCAGAGAACAGCCGTTTCCTGATCTCATTTCCAGGGAGACCACCTTGCCATTCCCTTCCTCCTGGCCCTGAGACCCGGGACCCAGGTGATAAGCCCACAGAGCCCTGGAAGCCTCTGGGACAGTTGCAGCCCCACCTAGAAGCCCAGGTAACTGCTGCCACCTGACATACATTTCAAATAGCTCTTTACTGACAGTGTTACATTTTCATAACAGAAACTTCAAACTATAATAGCTTCTCTTTTTTTTCAGACGCTCTCACAATATAGCCCAGGCCAGACTTGAATTCTCTGTATAGCCCAGGCTGGCCTCAAATCTGTGGCAATCTTCAGCTCTTAAGTGCTGGGACTATAGGCATGCACCACCGTGCCTGGCCCTCAGTATTTCCAATATAAAATGCCTCTGGTTTTTAGAATCTAGCATAGTAACCAGTACCATCCCAATGTGTTCTCTGCTTTTTAAAAGTTATTAATTATATCATACATACAGTTTACTACATTTGTGCTTAAAGGGAGATTATTTTTAAATCTTTACCAGCATAATATGTAAAAAGATTGGCATCTTTAATAAAAATGTGCTTAAAATAACTGGGCATGGTGGTGTACTAAGTTCAAGGCCAGCCCCAACTCTGTCTCAGCCCTCTCTCCTTAAAGCAAAAACATAAATAAATAAGCTCTTTTTCACTCTTGGGCTATACCAAAAATAGAATAAAAATGATGATTCTCCAGATTTGGTCTGTAAACTATTGTTGAAACCCAGGGAGTACTGAGCTACATCTCCAGCCCATTTTTTAAAATTTTATTTTGGGGCCAGGGAGATGGCTCAGTGGAATAAGTGCTATCCCTGGCAAGCGCATGGGCCCGAGTTCAATACCCGGTTCCGCCAAAAAAAAAAAAAAAAAAAAAAGAAAGAAACAAAAAAATGAAATTTTATTTTGAAGGACTGGGGAGATAACTCAGTAGAATAAGCACTTGCTTGGCAAGCTCAGGGTCCTAAATTCAATCCCTGGTACTGGAAAGAAAAAAAAAAAATTATTTTGAGACAAGATCTGACCAAAATGCCTAGATGGTACTTGACTTTAGCCTCCTGAATAATTAGGATTACTTTTTTTTTGGCAGGGGGGTGCAGGGTCTCACTACTCAGCTCAAACTCCTAGTGATCCTCCTGTCTCAGCCTCCTCAGTGCTGGGATTACAGGGGTACACCACCATGCCAGATTTCGGTGGCCAGCACCTTGAAAGGCCAGTGCAACATGCGGTACCAGGGATTGAACCCAGGTCTTTGGGCTTGCCAGGCAGGCACTTAGACCACTGAGTTGTCTCTCCATCCTCTAGGGTTACTTTTTGTTCGTTTGTTTTTCAGTACAAAGGACTAAACCCAGGGCCTTTTCACTCAGCTACATCCCCAGCTCTTTTTAAAAAGTTTTGAGGGCTGGTGAGATGGCTCAGTGGTCTAAAGCACCTACTTAGAACAAGCTTGGCAGAGCACAGGGACCCCCTGGTGGGCTGAGCTGGGCACACATACACACAGGCACACACACACATAAATGAATAAAATTAAAAAAAAAAAAAGTTTTGAGACTGGGTCTCTGTACCCAGGCTAAGTTTAGACTTGCAATCTTCCTGCTTCAGCCTCTCAGAGCACTTCTGAGATTCAGGTGTGCACTGCCATGCCCAGCTCTCTGCATTCTTTCTATCATGTGAACATAGCAAACGCTTTGTCGATTCTCTTACTTTTGAGCCTGTCTCAGGATAAAAAGACCTAGGGATGTAGTTTGCCTGGCATGTATGAAGCCCTGGGCCTGAGTCCCCAGTACACCAGAACAGGTGAATAAATAAATAAACTGATGAACCTCTTAAGGACATCTCAGTAGATCTGTGTCTGTTGGACATGGTACAAGTACATTTTTCCAGTGTATGTCTTTTCAGTTTATAAACTGGATAAAAAAAAAAAAAAAAAAAAAGCCAGTGGAACTGGCATCCTGTTGATTGATATTGTAGGCTGGGTTTTCTCTGAGCCGGTGGGACAGCAGGGTCTTAGCCATGGCAGGAGCAACATGGGAATACTGAACAGGACTAGCTGGGACTCCCTGATGTGCAGGATATGCGATGTGAGAGAAGAGACAGCAAGATTGGGCCCACAAGATAGCTCAGTGGTCTAAAGCACCTGCTTAGGCAAGCTTAGGCTGGCCCAGGGGACCATGGTTTGATCCTCAGCACCACATGCTGGGCCATCCCCACCCTCAGGGCAGGCTGAGCCAGCCAAAAAAAGAAAGAAAGAAAAAAAGAAGAAGAGACAGCAAGAACATGAAGAAAGGACATCTAGTTGGGCCTGGGGAAATGACTCAGTAGAATAAGCGCTTGCCAGGCAAGCACAGGGTCCAGAGTTCAATCCCCAGTCCCACAGAAAAAAAAAAAAAAAAAAAAGGATGAGGAAGAGGAAGAGGAAGAAGGAGGAGAAGGAGGAAGAGGAAGGGGAGGAGGAGGAGGAGGAAAGGACATCAAGGCCTGGGCCTGGCCAGTTGGAGAGGGAAAGGGCAGAAGGGCAGCCAGACAAGGCCCAACCAGCAGCCACACAAACAGCAGGGACCCAGGGGAGCCAGAGTGTTTGGCACAGGATGGATCTGAGCTGCTGGACAGAGCAGAGACACCCAGGAAACACCCTGGCAAGAAGAGCAAAGGCCCATGGAGGCTGGTTGTTGGAGAGGGGAGGAAAGTGAGAAGGGATGGCCCAAGAAAGTGGCCCAGGACCCAGGCTTGTCCCACCACAGGTCTCACCCGCTGCTGAGGGACCTTAGAGGAGGCATCTGGGAAGGAAGATGCTGGCTGCAGAGCTAGGGCTAGAGCGGTGCCTTGAGGCTGCGGCACCACAGCACGTGAGGCCATCCCAGGAGGCTCAGAAATGGCAGACATGCAGGCTGCACACACAGCACACAGGGGTCTCCACACCTCTGCTGCAGCCTCTGAGGAGCTGCTTCTCCACCCTCACCCCTAGGTCTCGGCACTAACCCTGCTTCAGGCTGGGCTGCAGCTCAGTGGAAGAGTGTTTGTCCAGTGTGGACAAGGCCATGTGTATAATCACTACTAAAATCCTACAATGTCCCCAAATCATAAATGTACCTGTTGTCCACTGTGGCAAAATATGCATAGGGGAAATCAGTAGACAGGTGAATGTTTAAAACATTTGAACCTATTACAGAAAAAGATGCCCTGGTTTCAAACAAACATTCTATCATCCTTGCCACTTTCTGTTTGTTTTTTCTTTTCTTTTTTTTTTCTTTTTCTGTGGGACTGGGGATTGAACTCAGGACCCTGCACTTGCCAGGCAACTGCTTATTCTACTGAGCCATCTCCCCAGCCCCTTCTGTTTGTTTTTTGAAGCAGGGTCTTACTAAGCACCTCAGGCTGGCCTTGAACTTACTGTGTAGCCCAGAGTGGCCTGGAACTCATGGTAATACTCCTGCCTCAGCCTGCTGTTTGCTGGAACTGCAGATAGGTGTCACCATGCCTGACCTTGCCACTTCCTGAAGCAGTTTTGGAAGTCTACTTTTGTAGATGCTTCCGCTGAGCTGCAGCCCAGCCTGAAGCAGGGTTAGTGCCGAGACCTAGGGGTGAGGGTGGAGAAGCAGCTCCTCAGAGGCTGCAGCAGAGGTGTGGAGACCCCTGTGTGCTGTGTGTGCAGCCTGCATGTCTGCTTTTGTCTTTATGAGGCATGATCAAAAATACAATGAATGCTACTAAGTGCCATCCAACAGAAAGGCAAGCTTTGAAAACATCGCAGCATGCCCTCTTCCCGCCTATTCTCCACATCTGCCGCTGGGCAACTTGCAGCTCTTCCTCAAAGGCAAGATGATAGTGAAAAGTAAACATTTTGAACCAAGTCAGGATATAAAGGCAGCCATGAAGGACTTCCAAAATTGCCTCAGAAGTGGCAAGAACAGTGGCAGTATTTTATTTATTTATTTATTTTGTCCGAACCAGGGATTGAACTCAGGCCCTTGCACTTGCCAGGGAAGCGCTTATTCCACTGAGCCATCTCCCCAGCCCCTGGTGGCAGTATTTTGAGGGGGTTTCACAGCAATGTCTCTTCCTGTAATAAGTTTTTTAAAATGTAAACATTCATCATATCTTTTGATCACACCACATCTATTATCTAGACCTCTATGTCTTTCTACTATATTAAGCATCTTATTAAACTGTATTAATCTCTTCTAAACTACAAAACTATTGTTTTCATTACACCTAGTGAAATAACTTAAAACTGGAGAAAACACTCCATAGGGCCCTCTATTGATTCCTGTTTATTGCTAATAGTAAATGGTGCTATGTATGAAGTGGGCAGGGTATGCAGAGATGAACTGCAACTTTGTAAGAAAAAGAAAAGTAGGAAAAATGTAGGTAAAGGATCCTCAGATACCCAAGGGTGTAGGAGGAGCCAAGGAAGTGAGAGGAACCTTCCTCTCCTACCCAGGGCACTATGGCTGGAGCCCCAGACCATGTGTGTCAGTAGGGGACCTGCAGCTCCCGGTGGGTGTGGGGGGCCTGGGCCTGCAGCTTGGTCGCTCCTCCTGCTCTCCCCAAGAGGCTCTAGGAGATGTTTGGATCAACAGGAAAACACTGCTAAGTGCACCTGTGCTGATGGGGCAGACCCATTTCCTTCTTGGGACCTGGCACCAGAGTCCCTAATCCCAGAGACGCAAGAATGTATTTCTTCTATGAATAACCACTATGAAGACAGCAATATGCAATGTATTAATCATTGAAACTCTCCTAGTAATCAGTTTTGAAACTGTCTCATTGCTGTTTGTTTTTCAATAAAATTAATAAACAAAAAACAAAAGAACGTATTTCTTCCTGCTGTCATGGAAAGCTCACTAATGGATGTCATCAAGGACATAAAAGAGTCCTGAACCCCTCTCCTGTGAATTCCCACAACAGGACCTAAAGCTCCCGAAAACAGAATGGGTTCCTGGCCATGAGAGAAGGAGCCAGTCCAGCCCATCACAGCCTATCAGCAGAATCCCTGCTCCAAGAGGCTCCACAGCAAGCCCCACTGTTGGACACAAGCAGGTAGAGCTTGCGTGTGGCCTGTGTGTCACAGTGCACCTGGCTGTAGCTGGTCACCTATCAGTGCTGGGCATACACGCTTGAGTGTGAGAAGTATGGGAAGTGGAACAGGACAGGTTCTGCTGCTCTGAATAACTGTTATTGACGTGTCACTAGTGCCTCATTTAGAATGGTAGCATAGGCATAGCAAGGGTATATGGATCAGTGGAAGGGCACAGGACAGCACATATGCCCCACAGCAGCCCTTCTACTCTGCCAGGACTCGCTTTACCTTTGGATGTGCAGCCTTGGCCAGAATCCACTGTCCTGGACATACTCTTGTCCCTTGCAACCTGGTCTGTCTCTGAGCCATGTCACTGGGGGACAGGGTGGAAGGGTAAGTGGGTACCTTTCGAGAATGACTCTGTCCTTTGTACTTCTTATAGAAAGAACGCAGAATCCCCACAGTGACCTGCAAATCAAGCCATCAAAAAGAAAATAGGGCTCCAAAGCCATCCAAGGTGCAAGCAGCACCAGAGAAAAGTGGTCATGAGAGCTTCGGATCATCTTCGCTGACCAGCCTTTTCCTCCAGGACACCTGGAAATTGCTAGACCTGAGCTCCAGCCCTTCCAGCTTCCCCTCCCAGGATGAGTCCACTCCAGGTAGGAGAGAGTGGCCTGCCCAGCAGCTGCCCATGGCAGGTGATGGCTTAGAGATGCACGGCCACTGCACTTGAGGCTGATGCATTTAATCCCAGCATCCTTTCTGCCCCCTTGCTTTCCAGAACTGTGGTTTTAGCCACATGCAGATCGTATGGGTGCCTGTGAGCCTGTGTGTTTCACATACAGTACATGGCCTACAGGACAGAAACTAGGCCCAGCACTGTGTCTCATGGGTGTATATTACAACAGAGTCAGCTTTCTCTCTAAGAGAAGGCACCATGAGGGATGGTCCTGCTTCACTGGCCAAGCCTCCACTCTGTCCCAAGTCACATGCCAGGCTACCCCTAGGTTATAGCTCCTTCTACACTGGTGGTCATCTTGAAGTTTTCAGGAAAATCTATTTGAAGGACTCATTCAGGGGAGCCTTAGGAGATGGTGTTCAGCAGCAAAGGTGGACGGAGGAAAAGACTGTTTCACAATAGCAGCCAGAGACTCCATATGTGGGCCTGGAGTCCACCCTGTGTTCTCCCCAGAATGTGTCCTCCATGGCACATTTGTGGTGCACCTTCATCTCTTTTTTTTTTTTTTTTCGGAACCGGGGATTGAATTCAGATCCCTGCATTTGCCAGTCAAGCGCTTATCGCACATCGGGTTCTCCCCAGTCCTTCCTATGCAAACTGGAGCACACTCATGGAATACATGTGTGCAGAAATCCTCAGACGGGAGGGTCGCTGAGTTCAAGGCCAGCCTGAACAACACAGCAAGCCTATCTCAAAGGAAAAGATTTCCAAGGAGGATCTACTTTGTTAAAAGATATTGCTAGCTGGGCTGTAGCCACTTGGCTAGCATGCTAAGCCCTAGGTCTGATCCCCAGCACTGCCAAAACAAAACAAAACAAAAGCCAGAGTATTACAATCTAAATTTAGCAGCCGTTATCAAATGGGCCCCCACTGAACCTGCCCAGGTTGTGTTCCCACAGCTGCCTTGTCAAAACCTTCTCCAGCTGGGTTTGCTCTCTGCTAGTCTGATAAGAGTCATTGTAATGATTATTTCTATTAGCCTGTGTATCTTTTCATGTTTTTATATGCCCTTTTGCATACTGGGTTATTATGTTTATTAATCACTTCCAGGGGCTCATTCCCCCTAGTTTTGGTTTTGTTTTTTACTGGGGATTGAACCTCAGGCCTGGAGCATACTAGGCATTCACTCTCACAGGGAGCTACACCAGCTCCCTTTTTTTCATTTTTTTTTTCTTTGTATTTTAGGGAAGGGTCTACAGGGTGTTCAGGGTCTCACTACTAGATTGGACTCCTAGTGATCCTCCTGTTTGCAGCCTCCCAAGAGCTGGGATTACAGGCATAGGCCACCACGCCCAGTCTCAATTGCCATCTCTGCTTGCCCCAGGGGTGGGGTCAGCTGGGGGAATGGAACCCCCAGCCCCTGCACCTGCTTGCAGATGCTTTAATTTGCTGAGCTATTTGGCTGCCCCCCCCCTTTTTTTTTTGTTTGTTTGGTTTTTTGAGACAGGGTCTCATTATGTAATGCACGTATGTGCCACCACGTTTGGTGCACTAGCCCATTTTTTAATCAATTTATTTTGAGTCTTGAGACTTGAGACATGGTATTGCCGAGTGGATGAGGCTGGTCTCAAATATGTGCTCCTCCTGCCTCAGCCTCTTGAATAGAATTATAAATGTGCACACTACCACACTGGCTTCTCTTGTTTTTTGATAAGGTGTCACTATGAGGCTGGCCTTGAACTCACCATGTAGGCCAAACTGGCCCTGAACTAAAGGCAACTCTGTCTCAGCCTCCCAAGTGCTGGGATCACAGGTGTGCATCACCTTGTCCAACTAAAAACTAAACTTTTTTTTACCCTAGGTAGCTATTAAGATGTCCCAGCACCTGACTGAAGAGCCCAAGTGTCCCACTTGTGTGAAAGCTTGTTGTCACTGTCATGCTGCTTTTCATGTTATGTGGGTTTAGACTGTTTATTCTGCCCAATTCAATACTGGGTCTACCCAAATGAGCACTGTAGTATGTGAATTATTATGCTTCAGGACTTCTTTCATGTTGGCTGACCTAGGATCTCCTCTGTACATTTCTTCCTCAGAATTTTCCTAGTTCTCACTTACCTATTTTGCTTTTGGATTTGTTTTTTGAGAAAGGATCTCCGATAGTTCAAGTGGGCAGCAGGCTCCCAGCAATCCTTCTGCCTCAGCTTCCTGAGTGCTGGGATTACAGGCACACCACACCCACCCGGAAATCTGTTTAGTTTTTCCTGTAGTCTTTAGACTCAGTTTGAGCCCTTCCCACCAAAACTCTATCATTGGGGCTGGGGAGATGGCTCAGTGGAATAAGCGCTTCCCTGGCAAGCGCAAAGGCCTGAGTTCAATCCCCGGTTCCGAAAAAAAAAAAAAAAACTCTATTGTTAGGGTTTTTTTCTATTGTTAGTTTTCTTAGGATTAATATATTTATCTTCTGACTGTTTAAGAACAAAATTACAAAAAGATCTTAATTGGTTTTACTTTCAACCCTAGAATAAGGCCACACATCATTCCATAAAACAGAGTAAACTCCAGTGAGCTAAGCAGAGATGTTGTGTTACACAAAGAAAGGCTTGAAGGTCAGAAGAAAAAAGGGTGTGGGGCTTCCAGAGTTACTTTACTTTGAGGACAGGGAGACAGGATAAGTGAGAAGTCCTTGCTGATCATGGGCAAGGTGCTTCTTCCGGAGGGAACCTGTTGAGGCCCTGGAGCTTTGTCACCCCCGTGCAGTGCGGACAGCCCGGAAGGCCATTGTTGCCTCTCTCTGATCCTGGTTCCTGGAGGCCCAGTGGATGACTGTGGCTTGTGTGGGGACACGGATGGCACAAGGGACATTGTTATGGTGTTCAGCCCAGCCTGCGGGCCTAGCCAGGCACACCCCTTCCGAGTGATTGTGACTGCTGAGCCCACAGGCTTGAGCTGGGAGCCCTCTTTGCCTCCTGCACAGCCCATGCTGGCCCTCAGTGAGGAGCTGCTTTGGTGAAGTTCATTTTCATTCACTTTGCTCATTTCTTTCTCATTTCTTCTTACAGCATTTTGTTTCTCCATTCCCTCTTCTTGATCCACTGTGTAGAGTTTAGGTGGGACAGGAGGCCAGAGCAGTCTTCAGCCAGCAGGGATGGAGTCTCTGCACCCCAGTGCTGCTCTTTCTGCACATGCGTGGCCTGGAGGCCCGGAGGCTCCCGCCCTGCCCTCTCCTCTGCCTTTTCCTGGAAACCAACAGCCTTTCAGGGAAAGAGTTGGGGCCTGTGGGGCCATGTGTCCTGTTGTCCCAGCTTCTTGAGGGGCCAAGGCAGGAAGATCCAAGTTCCAGGCCAGTCTGGGCAACTTATGAGCCCCTGTCTCAAAACTTAAAAGTGAAGGGGGCCAGGGAAGTGCCTTAGTGGTCAGGAATCCCTGGGTTCAACTCCAGTGGGCAAACATGAAAGCCCAAAGCCTCTGGTAGCTATTAAGGTCAGAGACCCCAGCCTCACCCAGGGATGCAGCTGAGCCCCACCCCACCCCTTGTCTGCCCTCCTCTTTCTCCTCCTCCTCGTTCTCGTCCTCCTCTTCCTCCTCCTCCCCCTCCTCCTCCTCCGCACTGCCTGCAACTGCCAAGCAGTCTGAAATGTTAGCTCTTGGTCTCCATGAAGATGAAGTCTGCAGTCTTGTTTTTTTCTCTTCTTTATTCTTCTTTTGGATAATTACAGGAAGAATGGGAGAGATATGATGCCTCCTCTGGTCAGAAATCCACCTTGTGCCCTGATAAATGTGACTAATAAATGCCCATACTATGCTGGGTATGGTGGCATTTGCCTACAGCTCTGAGGCAGGAGGAGCCAGCGTCCAAGTCCTCCTGCCTGGGCAACTTAGTGAATGAGACTTTGTCTCAAGGTAAAAAAAATTTAAAAGTGCTGAGGATGTAGCTAAGTGTAAACGTCTAGGTTCACCAGGACAAAGAAAGAGGGGGAAAAGGAAGGAGCAAGAGAAGTGAAAAGGAAACAAAGAAACTCTAGGGCAGTAACACAGCATCCAGCGGGGCTACCAGTCTGGAAGCCTGCTTTTCCTTGATAGTTTGATACATTCTCATTATTAGGAGTCCTCTTATCTTAGTGGTTTTTATCTAACATCTTACTAAAATTTTTAGGCTCACACTGCTTCTCATTTGTCCCACCTGTTGTTTTTGAGACAGGGTTTCACTAGATAGCCGAGGCTGACCTTGAATTTGTGGTGATCCTCCTTTATCGGCAGCGTAAGTGCTGAGATTTGTAGACATGTGCCACCATACCAGTTGACCCTACTAATTTCCGTCTCTTCCTCTCTCTCTCTTCTCTTTTCTTTTTCTGAGACAGGTTCTCACTGTGTAGCCCAGGCTAATCTTGATTAGTGATTCTCCTGCCTCAACCTCTCAAGTGCTGGGATTGCAGGCGTGCACCACCACACCCTGTTAAACCACTAATTTCTTAAATATATAACATCTGTATTTTTCTTTATTCCCAATGATATCTTTGGAATCTGAGCTCTTGGGGGCTAGCAGTCTGTAAACAAAGGTAAATCTGATGCTTTTATCTTTTTACTCTCCAAGCATGTCATTGTGGTCTCTTGGATAACTTCTTTCTTCTAAGCTGATTTTTAACAGATGTTTTTGTGTGGGAAACTTTTCAAGGCCACCACTGCTCTCACTGAAAACACATTAGCCTGAGTATAAGCTCCGGCCCTGTGAGTCTGAGGAGCCAGGGGCTGAGCACTTAGATTCTCACTGACGCAGCAGAAACAAGGCCCAGGTGCGTGAGTGGCGCATCTCCACTGTGTCCATGAGATGGCAGAAGGGTGGCACTGCTCACCTGGGAGCTTCGGGGCCCAGCACTGTGTTGGGCACTGACCCCATGGAACCCCCTAAGCTGCATCAAACTGGGTGAAGTTGAAATTTGGAACCACAAACTCACAGAGCTCAAAAAACAAGTGACAAAACCC